CTGGGGTAGACGCGCTTGCCGAAGAAGAGCTGCCTACTCCCCCAGCTCTCTCGAAGTGGACGTACTCGACAGTGAAGTTGTCGTACGTCGAAGCCGAGCCGTCGTCCACCGCCTTGTCCCACGCCCATCCTCGCCCTTCGTCGAACACAACGTCGCGCGCCGTGCGCACACGCTGTGTCTTCGGGTCGAGGATACGGTAGGCCTTCGAGCCCTCCGCGTAGCCGATGAACACTCCCGGAGTGCTCCTGTCGTCGAGCTTGCTGATGTGGCCAAGCTCCTTGGCGAACGCGAGGCAGCCGAAGACCCGCAAGTGGGAGACCGTCGGCTTGCGCCCATGCCAAGCCTCGTACGGTGTCCTTCCGTCAAGCGCCTTGGTAGGCGAGCGGTTGAGGATGTAGACGGCTGTCACCACCGCCTCTCCCCAGAAGACAGCCGGCATCCCCCTCTGCTTGAGGAGGGCCCGAGCCATCCCCACAACCGTCTGGTTGCGCCGCTCGACGACGCTGTTCTGCTGCGGGCTGTACGGCGCGGAGTAGTGGCGCTGAATGCCCTTGTCAGCGCAGTACGACGCGAATTCAGCCGCCGTGAATTCACCGCCATTGTCGGTGCACAGCACGCGCAGCTTGCGGCTGCACTCCGCCTCCGCAGCAGCCTACGCGCGTCTGATAGCGTCCGTAGCCTCTCCCTTGCTGCCGAGGACCATTACCCACATGTAGCGGGAGAGGTCGTCGACGAGTAGCAGGAAGTAGTGTCGTCCTCCCGGTGTGGCCAGTGTCACCGGGCCACACAAGTCCCCGTGCACAAGCTCGAGCCTCTCCTTGGCTCGAAAGCTCGCCCGCTGGGGAAAGGGGAGTCGCCTCTGCTTCGTCAACACGCAGACGTCGCAGAGCTGCTCCACATGGTTAAGGCACGGCAGGCCTCGCACCATCTCCGTGGCACTGAGCCGCTTCAGGGCCTCAAAGTGAAGGTGCCCGAAGCGCTCGTGCCACTGCCACGCCTCGTCATCCCGACGAGCAGCGAGACAGAGGGGTTGTGCCACCTGCACGTTAAGGATGTAGAGTCGATTTGCGCTTCTGGATACCTTGGCAAGAAGGCGGCGACGGCGATCCCAAATCCTCATGACTCCATCCTCAACCACCACGCGCGAACCATTCTCATCCAGCTGTCCCAAGCTAATGATGGAGTTCCTCAACGCGGGGATATAGTAGACTCCGGTGAGCAGCCTGTGCTCACCAGACACGGCGGTGAAGATGACGGAGCCGACGCCCTTGATCTCCACGCCGGAGGCATCCCCAAACTTGACGGAGCCTCGAACGCTAGAGTCAAGCTCGGTGAAGAACTCCCGTCGACCGGTCATGTCATGGGTGGCGCCGGTGTCGAGGCACCACCCGTCAGTCTTGTCGTTGCCGGAGCCATCGCCGAGGAGGGCGTGTGCTTTTGGCTTGTCAAGGTGGAGGAGAACCGCTGCGGCGGGTGCCGCTGGAGGTAGCTCGATGCTGGCATGTGCCATGAACAGAGCCGATTCCTCCTCCCCCGCCTGTGCGACGTGGGCATGGCCGCGTCGTGGCTGTCGACAGTCCTTGGCCCAATGGCCAAGCTGGCCGTAGTTGCGGCAGGTGTCATCTCGTGCCGGCTTGTGCTTGCCGGCGGCGCCGCCCTAGGCGCCTCCGCGGGCATCACCCTCGGCACGTCCTCGCGCCCTAGCCTAGGCGTCTCTGCGCGCCTTGCGTGGCTTGCCACGCTTGCGGCCGCCTGTCGCGGAAGAAGGCTCCCCCTTCCTCCGGTCACCCTAGCTGGCAAGCCACTGCTTCCGAGTGAGAAGGAACTTCCCACCAGTGGTGATGGGCCCCGAGAGGGACTGTGGCTCATCGCTGTCGACGACCTTGAGGCGACCTATCGCCTCCTCGACCGACATCGTGGAGAGATCCAGCAGAGACTCGATCGAGCGAGCCATCTGCCTGTACTTCTCGGGGACGCAGCGGAAGAGCTTTCTCCTCGCCGTAAGTGTCGTCGCCGAACTGCACCATCTTCTCAACAGAGTGTTGAGACGAAGAGCAAAGTCATCAACGTCCTCACCGGCTTGAAGGCCGTGTTCTCCCACTCCTGCGGCGCTGCGGTGTGGACTTGCGGCGCGCGTCGCTGCCGATCGCGTGCGCAGCAATGATGGCGCCCCAAGCCTCCTTGGCGATCCGCTTGCTGGTAGCGAGAATCGCATCTCGGCGGGGGATCTGCAGCGATGAGAGCATCCAGCGCCCGTCGATCTAGATCGTAGTCGACGCCGCCGCATGCGGACCGCCTCCCACATGTGCCGCACCTGGAGCTTTACCCTCATCACCGCAGCCCACTCGACGTAGTTGGTCTTGGTGAGGGTAAGCCACCCACCGCCGGGACCGACGTCCCTAACAACAGCCTGGAGCCCGTGGTAACCACGGTACCGATCCGGGGAGAGAGAGCCACGCTGCCTGTGAAGGCCACGCTCTCCATCGACCCGTCGGTACCGATCCGGGGAGAGAGAGCCACGCTGCCTGTGAAGGCCGCGCTCTCCATCGACCCGTCCGCCACCGTTGCCGTGCGCGCCTCCTCCAGGAGCGCCGCCGCCGTGCGCGCCTCCTCCAGGAGCGCCACCGGCGCGTCCGCTACCGTTCAGGCTGCCGCCAAGCTGCGGGCGTGCGCGGTTGCCCCAGGAGCGCCACCGCCGTGCGCGCCTCCTCCAGGAGCGCCACCGACACGCCCGCTGCTGCCGCGCTGCCGCTGCCATTGGGCGTCGCGCGCTGCCGCCCATCGCGCCACGCGCTTTCCAGCCTCCTCCCTCTCTAGCAGCTCGAGGTCCGCGTCGGCGGTGTCGTCAGCGGAAATGGAGCTGCCGATGCTGCCGCCAGAGAGCCTCGACCTCATTGCCGCCGCCGCGTGTCGCATTCGCCGCCGCCGTTGCTTCGCCTCATTGCCAGCTCGCGCCGCTGCCGCCACTCGACGCTTTTGCCGCCCGCCAGCCAGCGTCTCTGCCGCCACTGGCTCGCGCGTTCCTCTGCCAGCGGCAAGTTCGGCCTCCTCCGACGCCACAGGCGTGCGAGGCGACCGAAGGCCGAGATCGCCTCATGGACATGACGCGCTACTGGGGACTGCTATGCGTGGGGAGGGCTGCTTGCAGACAGCCGCTTTCGTCTGCAAGGAGGAGAGTGAGCAGAGCGGCGGGAGCTGCTTGCTTTCGCGCAATGGGCTGTTGTGTGGCTGGGAGGGGAGATGAGCAGGAGATGCTCAGGCTACAGGATAATACGACTCTAATACCACTTGTTAGTCGCTGAATTCTCACTCTTGATAGTAGGAGAATTCTTACTCTCATCGAGAGAGGATGACACTAGGAGTTGAGGCAATTTTCTTGTCTATTTCTTATTCAAATGTCATGCCAACCTAAGGGGTTGGGGTTACATATTTATAGGCTGCTAGCCAGCCAAGCATATGCCAAGATACTAGTATAAGATGTTAATATGCTACCCTAACTAAGATGCTGTCCTCTAATCTAAGATGCTGTTCATCTAAGATGTTGTCCTCTAGTTTAAGATGGTGTCCTAAAAACAGAAAAATAGCCACAAGGATCATGTGAGCAGTACAGTCCCACAAAGACCACACATGAAACTTATCCATCAGTCTCACAGCTGCGCGCCGGCGAGATGGGAGGAATCGGGTGGCCGAGTGAGCGGTGGCTAGCTAGCTTGATCAAGAATCCATCAGTGATCAGTGCGTGGCAAGGGGGTCGGGTGGTCGAGCGACCCGTGGTTGGCCGCCAGTGGTCTTCCGTGTCGCGACAACCTTCGTGGCAAAGGCAGTCGATTCATGGAACTGGAACTGGAAAAATGTTGGGCATGATGACTGGTGAGTGAGCCCTACGGCTACCTATACGGCTATGCCTTACCTCATCAGGCATCTCGCCATTTTCGCAAAGTAGGAGGAGGATGCACTACGGTTCCAAATTCTGAACGCGTAAACGGATCGAGGATGGATGCAGCTAAAGCACGGCCGCGTGGAGGGGCCCACCGACCCGCGCGAGCCTTCCGCGAGCGCAACAAGGCCTCTGCTACGCCATTTCGTGGATTTCCCCGCGGCGCTCTGATTCCGGATGGACGGTGCCGTGTTCTGCAACGGCATGACTGACCGTGCAAAGCATGCATGCACATGAGATGAGATGCAAGCAAGGCTTCTCCCTTGACGCAAGCATGCATGCTCTCGATCAGTCAAGCTAGCAAAACGGCGACCGTCAATACACTCACGCTTTGGACCATGCAACCTGGGTCTGGCCGTCCACGATATCGTCCCCCCACGTCGACAGCTCGAATATGTGCATGACGACGCAACAATGCAGTCGAACCGGTTCAATTGGGCTTACACTGCTATATCAGTCTATCAGATCAGTCTCAAGTATCAGGACCAAAATGCAGGTAGAGAACTGTCATGACACTGCCGATATCACTGAGAATAGAACAAAAATCATACTTCTTCCCCTAAAGAACAGCAGAAATGCATATATATCATCAAACTCCAAAACGTTCTGCACTACTACTTCACCAAAACGCATACACTCTTCATTGCGGATATTTCACGGCGACCAGAACAGTGCATTTCCCCAGAATATATAAATCATATAAATCTACTCTTTCTTTCCTATCGGAGCAAAATCAACATTCACAACTCAAATACAGAAAATCTGCCCTTAACGACATGCCTTCAGCTGTTCAGCAGGAGAGAGATTTCTCCGATTGCGATGCACGTGGGGCATATTCTCTTGAGTACAAAATCGACATTCACAATTCTATATATATACATCTTTAGACTTCTTTCTGCTGAATAAGCTCAGTATGCTAATTGCATATATATGTGCGTCGACGCGCTCTGTGATCCGTCCAACTGGCCATTAACGAACCGCTGATCGAGCTGACTGCAGCTCTGAATGTATCGTGGCACTACCCCCAAGTTTCACCACTGTACGCATCCCGGATGAAGTCTGCTCAGACGTTCAGAGACCAGTCGTAGTTCATGTAGGAGATGTTGATCGGGCCGCCGTCCTTCAGGAGATGCGTCAGGAGCCCGGCTTTGGTCGGGTCCAGGTAGTTGAGGAGCCACCGGAGGATGTCCCGGTCCTGCCCAAAATCAGCGCTGTACCTGAGACAATCAAACAAGCCATGGCGATCTTGATCAGGGAGGGTCTCTTCTTGATTTGAAACCACAACGAACTCACAAGCGGACCTAAAAACCAGCGAACATCTCCTGAAAGAGCCTAACTGGTTGTGGCGTCTGAACATGCACCGATGCAGGATGACCAGGTAACAGAGACAGAGAGTAGAGGCGCAGAGAAGACAACTCACCATTTGATGATCCTGGTGAGGTGCACGGTCCGGCTTTCCAAGTCGATCTCCACGCCGCCGTGGAGAAAGAACTCCCTCGCCGCGTGCCGGAGCTCCGGCTCCACGCCCTGTGTCGTGTAGAACCGCACGATCGGGCTCGACCGCGTCGCGTCGCACAGCGCGAAGTGCACCAGTGGGTTTGCGCGCCGCTGTGCCAGCTGCACGGGAGATTTTTTATTTTATTTTTTTCGGTAACGACGATGATAAGCTATAGAAGAGCAGGTGCAGAATTGAAGAGCTGACACCGGCTGAACCGACATGTGCAGCATACCTCGAGCCTCCTGTCATTGGAGCCGAACGGCTTGGCCAGCGTGTAAGGCTGCCGCCTGTTAGCCCTGAGGATACCGTTCCTGATCGCCGCAAGGGAGTAGGGGTGCCCTCCCACGACGTACTGGAAGTCCGAGAAGAAGGGCCGGCGGTCGACGGCGCCCGGCTGGCCGACTCGGATCACGGCGTGGATGGCCATGGCGTTGTGCAGGTTCAGGAAGAACGGCAGCCGCTCCTCCGTGGGGAGCTTGGTCATGTCCGCCCGCTGCAGTTCCTCAACCAGGTTCGCGTACCTGAGTCACGCACCAAAAAGAAAGGCAAGGCCGTTAGTTAGGGCATCTTTGGTACGACTTATGTCGGCTTCGACTTTATCTATTTTGCGTAAATCGAGGCACTGTGAAGCTGTTTTGTAAGCCGGGGTTAAAATGAACTAGAAGCCAGAAAAAGACAGTTTTTCTGGCTTCACCGGCTTTGGCTTCACCGGTGAAGCCGTTTTGGATGACATTCTAAGAAGTACGTGCAAGAAGGTGGCGACGGCGTGTGTTGCCTACCTTCTGAACTCCTCGCTGGCAGCGATGCGGCTGTAGTCGAGGTGGCGGCGGTCATCGGAGGCGTAGGCCTCCAGGATGGCGAGCATGATCCTGGTCATCCTCTGACCGGCAGCCGCGGCAGGCTTGGGCTCGCCGTCGTTGGTGGAGCCCCGGAAGTTGTAGTACTTGGGGACAGCGGGGTCGTGCTCCAAGAAGCGGTACAGGTTCTGGGTCCCGTCTTCGAAGTCGTTCTCCCTGCACACAGCACGGCATCATGGACCCGTGAGCTAAAATGGCACTGCATGAGCAGGTCGCGAGCTGAATGCTTGGTGCAGTATCTGCTATGGGGATGGTGCACTGACCTGAAGACATGGTGGATGAAGTGCTTTCTTGCGAGCTCCTTGCCGATCTCCACAGCCTGCAACAACAGCTCCTAGGTCGTCAGTCAGTTATTCTAGTCTTGGAACGAGGGTGAAGGAACAGTGGATTGTTTGATCGTAAACTCATGATTTCGTTTAAACGAAAAAATTCAACATTTAGCACAGGAATATGACATGCAGCAAGCAATGGTTATGTGGATGCACGATTGAGCCGTTGTGGCCACTGTTAGTGGGTCGAAACAAGATATTAATAAACGTCCTATTCGTTTGGCTTATAAGCCGTACTTTTTCAGCCAACTAACAGTATTTCTCTCTCATAATAAATCAGCCAACGGTACTTTCAGCCATGGCTTACCAGCCAAACGAACAGGACGAAAAGATGGCATGGCTAAAAATTGAAACATGTAAGGCTCACATGCCACATCAGCAAAAGTGTGAAAAACCGTTTTGAAATAGTAAGAGGGTATTTTGCTAAGTTTTGAAAGTCAAAGGAAGCATAGTTTGTAGTATAGGAATGGAAGGTGATCTTAAACTCGGGAACAAGTTTAAGGGAGTCAAATAGACTTCACTTATAAGATAATTTATATGCTCAACTATTAGGCCTGCCGATTAATAACAGTTATTGCACAATGGCGTTCTTCAAACACCTTCAACCCGAGCACCAACGGTTGTTGTTATCCAAACCCAAATTAAAACGTAGAAAGAAACGAAAGCCAAACTGCACTAGAAAAGTTCTTTCGCCCACCACAAGTCTGAAGCTGCACGCCGAAAAATCCATCAGGTGCTGCAATGTAACCATGACAGCAACTGACTACGACAGTGACAGCAACACAAAGCAGAGTCAAATTTCGTGGAGGAAAATTAGGGAGGGGACGCGATCAATCGTTGGGTCGGTGCTTAAGCACCAATGAGTCCAATGACCTCGCCCTATCCTTTCGGCACGCCCCACTAAGAACAAATCCTGAGGTTCCAATAACATTTCCACCAACTAACTTCTCTCAATTTTGACCAAAACGACCGGGACACGATCGACCTCACGACCCATGGCCCCGTTCGCTTGTCTTAAAAATTATTTGTTCGACTTTTTTTTCAGCTGGAATAGTATTTTTCTCTCACAACAATTCAGGTGGAACAGTGTTTTTCAGTCAGTTTCAACCAATTTTCAGATCAGCGAACGGGGCCTATGTTTCATTCATCTACTCACGATCTTAACCAAAAAAAACAGTCCACTATGTTGGCGTGGGAGAAAAATATCCACCAGAGATATCTGCTGTGGCCCGAATCAAATCTGATAGCATGCGGACCGGTCAGGGGTCGCGGCACACACGACGGTTGCGTTGAGCCCTCACCGCCGCGGCGTGAATCCTCCGGTGGAGCAACGTGGGCGGCACAAAATTCTCACTCGGAGCGTTGTACAGACAAGCAGGACCGGCTCATGCACATTCGCTTGGCTAATAAGTTATGACTAAAAGTATTATCGGTTGATTTGTTGTGAGAAAAAAATATTGTTCATTCGTCGAAAAAGTACGGACGTCAATTATCGAGTCAGAGTCAAGACTCAAGATTGCCGATGGCCTGGCGACGAGTCCACTCGTACCCTGTCAATACTAGTACGCACGTAGGGCGTCCCGCCCATTGGTTCGTCGTAGTCGTAATAGCGTACCGGCCTTGGACTCGTCTCACTCTGGATCCGTTCCTCGACGATGAACAAAAACGGTTGAAAAAAATGCATGCGCAGTTCATCAAAAAAAGAAATTGCATGCGCGATTGGGACCCGTATCCGCATGGCAGAAACGGTCAAGGCGTACGCGCAGGGCGCGGGCGCGATGGACGGTCCCGGTTTCCTCCTGTCGTGGGGCCTGGCTGCAACGAACTAACCAGCCGAACAAATCAAATCGCAGTCGGTCGGTTGGTTCGTTGGTTTGTGAAGAAATACTGACAGAAAAATACTGTTTCAACCGATCGATCGTCACGACATGTCGCCCCCCGCTCGCGCGGGAAACCAGGTCGAGCGGGCGGGGCGGGGCGGGGCGGGGCCGGTTCGGAAGGGCAGCACGTAACGCTCCCCCACGCGCCCGCCGCACGTGATCCTAGGGACGTTCTAATCTGCGTCCAGGCCCCTATCCTCTTTTTTTAGAAATCCATTCGTTTTGACCAAACAGTTTGCATCCCCCGCAACCCGCATAGTTGCCTTGAAGGAATGGTATATTTACTGTGAGAACCCTGATGGGATGATATTAGATCGATCCTCTAGGATACCATATTCTGTCAAACAACAAGATGTTGAATTTGGTGGGCACCATGCCAGCTTACCATTCTCACCTCGATCTTGCAAGGGAAATAAAACATTTTTTAGGGGAACCCGCCGTGATCTAGCTACCATATTTATGTTTTCTCTTAAAGGCACTAAACACACTCAATGTGTACAAAAGAGTCACATAGATATTACTCCATTCTAAACTTGTTTATAAACTAGTAAGCTCGAAACTAATGTTCAAATCTTGTGAAATGGCTCGACAAAGATAAATACGAACACTCACTAACTGGAATTCTTAAGCTACTCATTTTTCTCACACTACTACTAACACCCACGGTACTTTTGTCCACCCATATAAATGCGGCATTGCTACTTTACTAGTTGCCATTTTAGCAGGAGCAAATGCATTCACGCATCTAAACTATTTCCACAGCCATGCCCTCGAGTTAGTCAACAGTCACTATTCATGCATGCATATGAATAAAGAAAGATTAAAGCAGCAAACAGCCAAGCGCCGAAGCACCCAACCAGTAAGAAGTCAAACGATGAAGCAGCAACAGCAATGGCAATCTAGTACGACGACTCACCTTCTTCCTGCTGCAGTCCAGGTGGTTCACGATGCCGTCCACCATGTCGGTTCCGGAGAAGCAATTCTTGACGAGCTTCACCCTGACGAACCGGTCCTGGATCGGCAGCCGGTGCCGGAGCACCCTCACGATGCCCACCATGGCGTCCTCGGCCGCCTCCTCCCCCTTGCCGCCGCCGGCGGCGGCCTCGTCGACGTCGAACCCGTACACGGGCACCCGCGGCGCCGAGTCGGGGCACCGGCGGCCCGCGAGGTCCCGCACGCGGCGCTCGAATTCGCCGCTGTTGCGCAGGGAGTTGAGCACCACGAGGCCGCCCAGGAGCTTCTCGTTGAGGAAGATCTGGGGCACGCGCGCCGCGGCGCCCGCGCGGGAGGCCAGCTCGGCCTCGCGCTCTGGGAACACGTCCAGGTTGATCTCCACGTACGGCAGGCCGGACTGCCGGAAGAAGGCGCGCACGGCGGCGCAGTCGCGGCAGCCCGAGCGGGAGAAGAAGCTCACCCGGCCCTTGATGTGGCCGCCCGAGAAGGAGTACCCGACGACGTCGTCGTCCTCGGCGGCGTCGGCGGCGGCGATCGCGTCCTTGAGGCGCACCGTGACCTTGACGTTGGGCAGGTGGATCTCCTGCACGCCGTAGGTGTCGACCGCGGCCGCCTTCGCGGAGGGCGGCGACGAGGACTCCTTGAGCGACGAGATGCGGCGGGTTATGGCCGAGGACAGCACGTCGCGGCGGTCGCGGAAGAACCGCCCGATGGACACCACGTCGTCCACGATCGTACCAGCAGAGTTCGCGGAGGCCGACCGCTCCACCGGCCTCTTCTTCTTCTGCTGCTGCTCCTCCTCATCCTCCTCCTCTGCCGCGTAGTCGTGCGGCGCCGGCGTGGAGTGCCCCCTGGCCAGCCCCGGCGGCGCCTCTGGCTGCGGCAGGTGCGGCGGCGGCCGCAGCACCACGCCCTGAAGCATCTTGCGCGCGTAGTACACGTCCCCGTCCTCGCCGGCGCCCGCCACGGCGGCGAGCCCGGGCGGGGTCACCGACCGCGGGACTTGCGCCGGCGGCTCGCCGTCGACGCCGTCTGCGGGACGACGATGATCCCCTTCCTCCTCCCCCTTATCCGCAGCAATTGGTCCCGGCGGTGGCTGCGGCGGCGTGGGGGCGAGGTGGTGCGGGAGCGCGTCGAGGCGGGCCTGGTGGTGGTGGGGCGCGAGCGGCATGGCCACGAGGGTCTCTTCTCCCATGCCGCCTCTTTCTCTCTCTGGCGCCCGCGCGCGGGGTTTACGAAGAGGGGAGGAGAGGGACCCGAACGCGACGGAACGGAACGGGAGGGCAGCGGGTAACTGGATTTGGGATTTGGTCTCAGCGCCGAGGATGGAGCGCAGCAGGGGGTTTAAGAACCGCCGCGGGATGCGCGCCCACGACGTGGTCCGGGGCGTGGACGCGGTGTGCGGGGCCACAGGGCGCTGACGTGCGGGGCCGAGAAAACCAGTGGCCGGGCGGGCCGCGGGCGGGCGTGCGCTCCCGCGAAGTGTTCAACGTGGAAGGAGGATCTCGGTTGGTCAGTGAGGTCCGGAGCGTGAGGCTGAGACGGGTCGGCGATCTCGGCTGGTTTCTTTCGTTTTCCGGCCTTCCGGCCGGGGGCGTTTGGCGCCGCTGCCGCGTGGGGTCGTTGCGGCCTGTAGTCTTCGAGCGGCGCCGGCACGGCCAGGGTTCTTCTTGGTCTTGCGGTCTCGCCCGCCGCCGTATGCGGCGGGGATTGGAGCTACTGACCCGACTGATATGCTACGGTCTATATACGCTGGACGGCGCCGTGCTATTCACTGGATACGGCGGCCGGGAAGGAAAGGCTGCAGACTTCCCGGGGCTGTTCGATTGGGAATCAACGTCCATGTATGGTCCGAGCTTCTGACGTTCGCGCTGGACCAGGCCGTTCCGAGGTCGCTCGACACCACACGGCTGGCTTGCACGTGTCAGCTCCATCACCCCTGAGAAACGGCCGGCGCGTAGCAGCAGTGTAGCATACGTACCGGCTTGCGAACGATAAGTCCGGCGAGGTGATCAAGCAGCTTCCCCCAGAATTTCCCTGCCGAACGAAAGAAAGCCCGGTGTAAGAACGTGGATCCTAGTCGTTTTCACGCTACGCAGCGAGTTGCGCGCTACGGGACGATCTCTTCCGCGGTCTGCCTGCATCGGGTTCGCCGGACAAGTGCCAAGCAAGGCCTGAAGCATCGACTCTTCCGACATCATAAGGATATATAAGGATAAACAAATTTGTGCGATTGCAGATAAGATAAACAAACGCGCCAACTTCAGGAGCACACATCATCGTGGCTTGCTGGACCTGGACCATATCCAGTTTCTTGTGCCATTTGGTCCCCGTTGAAACGGTGCTGACTCCTTCAAGTGCGCGCGCGCACGGCGCGCGGTCAATCATCGGTGAAGATATTCTTGCCATCTTATCAAGAAAAAGAGAAGATATTCTTGCCAAAAAAAAAAAACCTTGGTCTCAAAATAAGTTAAATACTTTTAACTTTGACTAAATATATATAAAAATATTTATATTTATAATATATAATTAGTATCATTAGATAGATCCTTGAATATACTTTCATTACAAACTTATTTGGAGATATAAATCTTGCACGTATTTTTTATAAACCTAGTTAAAGTTAAGAAAATTTGACATACACGTATCCCATAACGACTTCTATTTTAGAACAGAGAGAGTATATCGGTAATTACCGTAGCTATGAACAACAAGTAGCTCTATCATTTCTTCCTTTTCTTTCCCTTCGAGTTGCGAGACTAGTGTGAAGAATTGGCAATTCTGCATCAAGTGACTGTGAGCCCTGCTGACCTAACTCGTGTATCACATACATACCAATTCAATGGACTTATGTATATTTATTTATTGAACATTGTGCTGCCTCGGCTTCGTGCTTCATCACATGCTCATGTGTTTGACCTCATACTGATCAGTGATCAGTGAGTTTAAAAAATGAGTTAATTGTATTCATATCGATATAAATTTTACCATTGAGAAAAAAACATTATTATTCATCTATTTAGAATAATATCATGAAATTTTTTTGTCTATCTGAGATCTACCACTCTATACATGTAGGATGTAGTTTGACTCGGTTTGACTCACTATTGAACTAACAGATTTTCATTTTATATGGACAAAATTGCCCTTGTTGCTCCATTCTGGCCCTGTTTGCTTGGTTGATAAGCCATGCTGAAAAGTATTGTTCTCTGATTTGTTGTGAGAGAAAAACACTGTTCGTTCGCTGAAAAAATACGGCTCATAAGACAAGCGAATAGGGCCTCTATCTCCACCCTGATGTGACACTGTCATGGACCCACTTGTCAGAATTGTCATATCACTCATTCCCCCAAATAATCTTTCTTAAAAGCTCAGACCCATGATCCACAGAAGATGTCACGCCCACTGCGGCTAGGTAGCCATCCCCTATCCAGAAGAGAAGGAGAAAGCTACCGAAGAGGAGAATATGGTAGCTTAAAAATTGGTCCAATAATACCCATGATATATAGCGTTTAAATCTCATAAAGAGATAAAATGCAGATAGATGGCGAATTAATAACGGCATGTTTATAAAGAGGTAAAATTTAATGGTAGGTCTCCTAAGCTTAACAGTTGTAATGGCATGTATCTAGCTAAACCTTAAAAATATACAACAGCCGTCACAGAACCGTGACAGCCGTCCTTGCTTGTAAGCCACAATTGTTGAAACTTGGACGCTAGTTCGACAGCCGTGACCATTTCAATTGCAAGAGGGGAGGGAAAATCGCATACGCCTGGCCTGCCTCACGGGCGCTGCCAGGCGTGCATATGCATGCCGATCAGCCGATGAACGGTTCAATTTCTGGACTTGGTTTCAGCATCAACTGGTCAATTGGCGAAACCACCCCCATTTTGCAGGTTTCTACGACAAGTCGGCAACCAAATGGCGAGAACCGTCAACTGTGCGAACCGTGTATTTTAGACCGTCTCTCACAACCACGATCTTAAAATACAAGACCCATTGTCCTTTAGGTAGTGCTACAGACAAAGGGTTCAATACCTATTTTTTTTCTTTTTTTCAACAACATGACCCAAAAGACGACTCTTTCTGCAAATGAATATCTCTAAGAGGATACTCAAATTTAGGTTATGTTTTTTCCTAGACCTTAAATGAATCTTGTATATAAATATTCTGTTATAAGCTACATGTATTATGTTGAAGATCTATTTTAAGTTTAGGTCACGTGATAGGTGTGCCGGTGGAGACAGACTTACCGAGAGATTTCAGAGGCCACGCAGTCCTCATTGACATCTCCTTTCTGGTACGTCGGTAGATTCTGAACGGTGAGATCAGCAATTTATTGAAACGATAGAGATGATGGCGTCAACAAGGTCGATCGTTATTAATCGAAGAATAAAAAAAATCGTTAAGAAATTGCATCGTGTACATGCATATGCAGGGACGGGACGGAGTCCTCGAGACATTGGCGACCACATGCGTGGTATCAGAGACCATGAAGCCGCAGACACATAGCGAGCAACGTGAGCCCATGAGCCAGAATGGATTAGTATTTTTTGGAGACGACGGAGTGTATGTAACAAACCGTTGTTTTTCCGGCGGTTGACTGGTTGATTTATGAGATAAGCTCGGCTGATGCTGATTTGTTGTGAGAGAGAAAATACTATTGGTCGACTGATAAGCTCTGACTGAAATCAATAAGCGAATAAGCTATTTAATCCTTCCAACAACTAGATTTTTCTCATATACTTACACTGTCATATAGTTATATTTATACTATTCTATTATTATATTTACAATAATTTTTTCAGTGTAATTTATTAGACAGAATGATGTAATTTAAGTATTTATATGGATTGCGGATCTCAAAAATGTATGTGCCAATTATTTCAAAAACATTATAAATTATTTTTATAGATTATAAATAACAGCAGAGAAACATATGTCAAATTATTCACGGATGTCAAATATCAGATGCAGCCCCTGTTAGTCCTTGCCTATCCTCTTTTTCTCGCTCCACTAGTCCACCGGATCTTCTGCGCCGCCCCTACACCCACTGCTAGCTGTGCTTGCCGCAGAGGATACTGGGGACTGGGGAGGGACTGAGGGAGGCTGCACAGGCTGTCACAGGCAGGGCACGCGTCGCGGGGCGTGCTGGTTGCTGCGCGCTGCTCGAGGGACGGGGCCCACATACGGTGCGGTTTCCCAACCAATCAAGACGCTAGAAAACCGGTTGTTCGAGGCCCTGTTTAATTAAAAAAATTCCGTCTAAACAGTCACATCGAATCATAAAACACATACATAGAGCACTAAATATAGACAAAAAAAACAAATTACACAGTTAGGTGAGAAATCATGAGACAAAATTTTCAAACCTAATTAATCCATAATTAAACACTAATTACTAAGTACAAATGAAAATGCTACCATAGCCAAAGCCAAAATTTTCACGAACTAAACGTGCCCTGGGTCAAAACAACCGGGAACCAGATTGCAAATCTGAAAAGGAAATTGATCAGCACACGTGTACCTGTCGCCATGTTACGCTCAGGGCAGGGAACTCGCCTAACACCCGGTTTAGGGCACACAAGACCTTATTAAACAGTGAAGCCACCGAACTGGTTACCAAAACATCGAGAGCAGAGAACCTACTACTACTAAACACATCATGTCGCCACTTGGAACGGTAGGTGCATGGACAAATACTGGATGGCGAGATCCGTCCGCCACCAGCCACGATTGGACACAGTTCGCCAGTCCTCATGGCACCGTTAAGGACTTGCGGTGCTGCCATTGCCAGCCATCGACGGCAGACCTGCTGTTTTCCCCCCAAATCCCCGCAGCAACGGAACGATCCCGGGAGGGGAGGCGGCCACTGGTAACGTGGCGTGCCGGGCACCAAGGCGGCAACGAAAGACGCCGGATTGATCATCCGGAACGGGCCTGAAAATGGGTGGGAAGGGGCCTATACTTTCATATAGATCAGACGTGTGGGCCTAGGCGTGGGGCCCAACAAGACAAGGGAGACCTTGCAAGGAGTTGTTCCTGCTGCTACCACTCTATCGCCACAGTTCCCAACACTACAAGGCACAGTAGCTTAGGCTAAGCAACAATGCCAACCCCATAGTTTCCAACACTAATAAAAGGCACAAGAGCTTAGGCTAAGCAACAATACCACAGTAAACAAGTACCAGCTA